AATTAAGGCAAGAAAGTGTGAGATTTGCTTTTATTTTGTGAATCTGTTTTCCAATATTTGATCCATAATTTGATAAATACATGCATCATAAACTGCTGAAAAATGAATTCAAAATTTAATGGAAAGGGAAGATGAATAGAGGTATAGAATTACCATGCTTTGTTGAATGTTTTATAAAGGAGTGAATGTTATGAGATGGATATTTTGTTTGTATAAACAGTAGTTTGTTTATTTATTTATTTATTTATTTTTATTTTGTTATCATTAATCTACAATTACATGAAGAACATTATGTTTACTAGGCTCTCCCCTTCACCAGGACCCCCCACAAACCCCATTACAGTCACTGTCCATCACGTAGTAAGATGTTATAGAATCACTACTTGTCTTCTCTGTGATAAACAGTAGTTTTTAAAGAGAAAAGATAGTGTCATGTGTGTATAGCTATTCATGATAACATTCGAAATGCTTTTTGCCAGGGCACCCGACCCCGACAATGCTGTCCATCCAGAAGTGGCAGTTCTCTATGAGTGCAAGTGAGTGAGCTGAATCGCAGCTTCTTTTTAATACTATTAGAGCAAATGTTGTGGTAGTGGGTAGCAGAAGGATTCATAACTAAATAATTCAGTTGTTACTGGTTTACTTTTATTCTGACAAAGTTTAATTAAATTTTATCTTACAGTTAAAGAAGAGCAAGAATTAATGGAAGAAATTAATGAAGATGAACCTATTAAAGCCAAAAAACGGAAGTAAGTAATACTTATAGTTTATGTATAATTCATAGACTTTACCTTTTAAAAGTTCATTAGGTTGCAGTCAGCTTGTGATTGGGACAGGTAATGTGTATGTTGTCAGGAGGCAGAAGTCATGATTGCTCTCTTGGGCCTGATATAAAAGCTTTGCTTTAAAATGTACAAATGGTGTCCCTTCTCTTGCTAGATTTGCAAAAGATCTATTGTTTAAATTTTAGAAATGAGTTGATAAATTATTTCCAGACATTCATTAGGCCTGAATTTTATCAAAAATAAGTTTCCTCCCTAATGTAGACTCCAACAGACACCATTCCAGAAATCTCGTAAATACAGACACAGACTTCTTTTTATAAACTTGCTCTTGAGTCTGGGGTCATTGCCACCTTTTGAAGAGGGAACCCTTGAGCTCTGAAGGCACTCTGAGAGAGACTGTCATGAGTGCGGGCTAGTTTGGCCAGCACTCTAGAACTGGTATAATATGAATGTTACGAGGTATGGGTGGCGAAATGGTGGGGTAGGGGGTGTTTGTGTGTGGGTGGGGGAGGAATGGGACCATTATTTAGCAGCAAAAGAAAGCTTAAAGACACGGTTAGGGACTGGCTGATCGTAGGCCTTACCTGAAAAGGACAGACTGAATGCAGCCAAATTACGGCAAAGAAATCAGGAAGAAAACCCCTAGAAGGGTGGCTCTTGTTTAAAAATTTCTTTATTGGCAACGATGGTAAAGAAATTAAGATAGTCAAGAGAGTCACCCATAATCGACCATAGTAATCACAGCTGTTTTCGTTTTTGCAGTTGACTTTTTAGTTCTTGACCAAATGTATAAGTATTTTTATTAGTTGTAATCAATTGATTTTGTGTTTTTTTTTTAAAAAAATCTAGAATAAGACATTTGTTTTCTTAATTATGATAAATGACTGCATTTATTCTGTTTATATACCATAATTTTGGATGTTCCTACGATGTTAAACTTTTAGGTTGTTTTTAATTGTTTGTTCTTATAGACAACTCTGTAAGGTTTTTAACTGCTTTTATCAGGAGAATGTCAAAGAAGTCCTTTATGTGGATTGCCCGAGCTTCTCTATTTAGGTACAAAGTTAAAAGCCTATTTTTTTCTGGCTTAGTTTTTCTTTATTTCTTTTATTGAGATAGATAGTGGTAGTTTGTATTGTGACATTTTTATTTAATATAATTCTATAAGGTTATTTGTTTTCATTAGTTGTGTTTCTTGGATGTCTTTTAACTCTATTTAAATAGTTCTTAAATAAATTATTATAAGAGGGTGTATTGTTTGGCAAATTGCTTTTACCTGTTTGTTTTGTGCATATCTTAGGTCACAGACTATCTCGCTAAGTTCCTGCAGGTCACGGACTATGTCTTCTATTTCTTTTGATTCATTCCCTAAGTTGCTAATTACCTCTCACTATTATTTGTGGGTTAGCCTCAGTTCCATTTAAATCTCCTGGGCTACCTTCACTTCCTTGTATAGCATGGTTTTGAATTTCCTGATACCCTGATTTATTACCCTTAAGTTTATGTAGGGAATATGAACCAATTCTGTTTGTACACCGGCAGATCATATTTAAAAAGGAAGATCTGCACAGCCACACCTGAATATTACTGAATTACCTATTTTTTTGGATTATTTACATGAATGAGCTTTCTTCATGTAAAGATGTCTGAGAGGTGACTTGATTTCATGTTTCCAAACCCCTTGAGTATAACATAGCAACAGCGTTGCTCTTAGCACTGAGTTGCATTTTTGGAGAAACAAGAAATAGTTTAGTCATTGATGAACAGTTCTAATTCCACCTAACTACTCCTGGGCCTATGTTGCTCTCTGGGACCTGTCCTTCAACTTAAATCTCAACTAATCACCCAGAAAGTGAGTAAAAAATGTCAGGTAGGTAAGGTATATATCTCACATATCCACTTGGCCAAGTTTGCAGATATTTTCATTTTATTTTCAAAATAAATATTTCACATTACTAAGACACCAATTTTTATTAGATTTAAAAGATATTTTATGGATTTATAATGTAAGATCTTTTAGAAAACTATTTTCCCTGTATCATTTCAAGAACTAAAAATTATATTCTGTGCTGTTTGATTCTAACACATAAGAGTTGTACTGCAATGTTAGATAAGTTTGCTTTTTATTTTTTTTAAGGTCATTTTGTGTATTAACTAGTGTCAGGGAGAGACAGCACGTTAAAGTTTTTTTTCTCCTAACAATGTAGCCATTGTAACATCATTAGAAGCTCAGTGTAACTTTATTATTAGTATAGTGAAAGTTACTTATCCCTTAGGGTACATTTGAAACCCTCAATATACTTGGCTTTTCCCAAAAATATGCTGCTCAGTAGTGAGTCTTGGATATTCCATTGATTTTAAGATTTAAGTAAGATTTCCTGTTAGTATTTTGTCAGTTGATCCCTTATATTTTATTTTTTTATAGGAGAGATGATAATAAAGACATGGATTCAGAGAAAGAAGCTGCCATGGAAGCTGAAATTAAAGCAGCCCGAGAAAGGGCCATTGTCCCTCTGGAGGCCCGAATGAAGCAGTTCAAGGACATGCTGCTAGAGAGAGGGGTCAGAAAACAATCTTTGGGGGAGATATTTCTGTTTTGTATAAGTAATATAAATATGTCTTGCTAAAAGGTCCAATCTAAGGTTAGTGCTCATGTTGTTGGGGGGGAGAAGGGAAGCCTATCAAATTTTACTGTTTTTTTTTTTTTCCAAACAGCCTTTTTTCTTGGCTAATCATGTCATATTTAACTAAATGAATTTTACTATCCTTTCAAATGCAAATAACGTTTAACATTTATTGGGTCGTTAAATTTTGGTGAGTATTATAAGACGAGTATTAACATTGCGGAATGGCGGACTACTCGGGATAGGTAAGGTATATACGATTTTTCCTTTAATATATTTAGAATGGCTTTTGGTTAAGGAGAACTGGTACTTTATGATATTAAAGAAGAGATGTCAACCTTTTGAATATATTCACAGATTCAGTTGAATAAGTGAAATTGTTCAGTTCTAAATTACAATATTGTTCACTTCCTTGGAGCAAGCATGGGAAGTCAAAATGCAGATCTTCAAGGCTTTTTCTGATGTACTGATTTTTAAAATGTCACACAGTAGTCGTTATTTTAATGAGTAATTAAGTCTGTGTTATTTCTATATAGAATAGAAATGTTCAGAGCCAATTAGTGTGGAAATTTGCAATGCTCGCCTCCCACTGCTTGTCATTTATTAGTGATGGAAACTTCAGTGTGGTGTTTTATTATGTCTCCTTTTTAAGCAGATGTCCTGTAGATTTCAAGGAAAATTATTTGACATTTATGTTTTAGAACCAGCTTAGTTATGAGGCAATACATTTTTTATTTTAAAGGTGTCTGCTTTTTCAACATGGGAGAAGGAATTGCACAAGATAGTTTTTGATCCTCGATACTTACTTCTCAATCCTAAAGAGAGAAAACAGGTAAAAGGAAAATAACATTATTTAATAAATGTTTATCCCTTGCCAACAGATTTTTTAATTATAAGGAATAATTACCATGCTTTTTTTCCTTTAACAGTACTTTAAAAACAGTTTCATATCTTAAAACATAGTCATCTTCTATGTGGACTTTTCTGCCTCAGAAATTACTTGGACGTTTTGCCCTTATAGACATGGTTATTGCCTCATGAACATTTTGTCCTTGTACCTCAGGCAC